GCCCCCTCACCATCATCCTATCCATCTCCTACTCCGCCCCCTCCCCATCATCCTATCAGTCTCCTACTCTGCCCCCTCCCCCTCACAGGGCAAGTACAAAATACAACTCAAAATGTTAACATTCAACTTTTATAATTTTTTCATTAAATTCATAAGTTTCTAAGCATTAGTGCCATATGAGACTATTTAAATACTGATGAAATTCCAAGAGGAGGTAACAATCACTCAATGGCACATTTAAACACCTATGGAACTGCAAGGAAAAACTTTAACATTTGAGGGCAGACAGCCGGATGGCCTCCCAGATGGACAAAAGATGGAAATCGGTATTACATAGGCTCGCACTTGCTTCGCAGCTCGCCATTAAAAACACTTTTTGAGAAAAAGCTCATAAGGTGTAGAGCATACAAACACAACGCTACATAGGATTTCCTACTGAGTGATCAATTTTCATCTTTTTTCATCAGTATCCATGTTTGTAGTCACAAATTCTGAAAATATTATAAATATTATAGAAGCTGTTAAAGGATAAAACACAAAATCAAGTTTTTGATGAAATTTCGCCCTCTCCAAATAGAACAGGCCATTACGTGTTTTGGCAATGCGCGACTTATTACCCTTTCTGTAGAGTGGGTCACAATTAGTGGCCAAAAAGGGCAGGAATTTCTAGTTTTAGAGACAAGAGGGAAACCTGATGATTACATACGCATGTATATGAGAAAAGCCACAACATCATGTTGGGACTGAATACCCAATCCACTTATTGGCAAGAGAGGGATTTGAACCTCTGACACCATAGGTTGGAGGCCAGGCGAAAACTACAATCCAGCTGGGGCCAATTTCATAGAGCTGCTTAAGCACAAAATCTGCTTAAGTGTGAAAAAACCTTAATTAAAAAAATAAGAAAGTTTACCAGCTCAAACTGATTGTTATGCTAACCAAAAGACAGCTAAATACAATCCCTAAACAATATACATCACATGGAGTTTTGGCTGGTTACCTAATTTATCAAGTAAGGTTTTCTCACGCTTAAGCAAATTTGGTGCTTAAGCAGCTCCACGAAATCAGACCCAGGCCCTGATCAGAAAGGGCTGCAATTTAAACCACATTTTCCAAGAATTTCCGCAGACATCTCTCACCTTGTGGAACCAGTAGACCAGGCCCATCTTGTCCCTTCCCACGGGCTCGGCCCGCATCTTCTCCGCGTCCTCCTCGTTCACGATGGCCTTGAACTTTAAGTTGTCATCAAACTGGCTCTCGCAGAGAAACTGTGCAGGAAATGGGTAAGAAGCCTTGTGGTTAAGGCAACTTGGAACTGCAGAGGACTCCTATTTAGTCTAAAATCCCGGACTTTGCAGTTACATCTAGTGTTTTAGTGCCGTAAATCATGCACACACTGCAATCAAATGTAGGTAGAATACATAGGAATAATTGTTTTCTCGAAATGAAAGTTATACTTGTAACTATACATATCATTAAGATGAATACCTTCAAACAAAAATTTCCAAGACCACGATTCTTGAAATCTGAAAAGCAAGGGGCAACTGGGCAGTGCTCAATGGTGTCGAGAGCAGCACACGTGTTTAGAGTACACATACTCAGAATGGTGCATGTACTTACCCTGAGCACAGCAATCTTGATCTGGGGCTTGCTGGCTGCAAAGCCAAACCTCTCTACTTCCCAAGCTGCCACTTCTGAGAAACGTTCTCGGCACATCTGTAAAAGAAAGATATCGAGGGATCCAGTTTGCAGATATCAGAATGCTACTTTACTTTGTCGTTCTTACAGTAACATCAGAATTTACATTCCAGGTGTACACAGAGGGCGCTAGAGTTGAGCATGCAAGTCACAACCCTTCAGACTTGTTCTGACCTTGATTTCTAACCTCCAAAACAAGTGGTGCAAGTCGGGAGGGGGGGAAGACACATGTTCAGACCCGACGCATGCACCCCCTCCCCTGGGTACATCCCAATTTCAACATGCTCCCCCCCTTTAAGAAAATTGCTTCCCAGTCATGCCACTGTTCCAGACTCAAGTGTCATTGTTTCTCATAGAAATGTGTTCATGCGTTGCATTGATATAAATAATGTATCAGATACCTTGGCAAGGTAGCGTTGCCACTTTTCCAACGAGAAAGATTTCCTTGTCTTCCTCATCAGCTTGATGATGACGTCCTTTAGCAGTGGAGGAACTGATGAAAGGAAGAAGAGAACTGACTGTTTTATCTGCCTTCTGGGTCGCACTCCATGCCCGTTCATGAACTCCACAAAACAATGTTGAAGTTTGAATCAACATCAGTATTCTTCTTTCTTTTTTTCTCCGCACTCCTAAATAATGTTGGGCACAATCTTTATCCGGTTCCATGCCTTGTCGATGCAAATCCATTTTGAGGAGATGGAATTCAGACCGAGCGCAAATTCAGACTTTATTTCCCTGGGGAAAAAATCCTCCAAAGCCACAAATCACTAAGAAGTGAAATATTCCTGCAATATAAGAAGATAATCCTATGTCCACAGGCCACAGCACATCTCCAATCTGGGGGTGAGTGGGCCCTGATGTCCTAACAGGGGGCCAGATCTTAAAACGTATGCCTTAACTTCTAGGGCATGTAACTGCATGGTAAAGACATGTCAAGAAGGGCGAATTTACTGTTCAAGTGCTTTAATAGTTACACTAATGGTTCCATGCTGCCATTATAAACAAAAAATTCCCTGCAACCAGACAGACAACAGCTAAATCTACATTTGGTTTTTTAACAGGAGAAGATTAAGCCTGCCTGCAGAGAGGAAAAATGGTGGAAACCCAATCATGTCTATCCGTTGTCAGTTACCGACTGAGTTACATGTATGTAGGCCTAGCTGGCTGTAGGCCTACAATACATGATGTAGTAGCCTATATCATAAATTTTATCACTTTGTTTAATATTATTTAGGCCCTATGCACAGGCCCTAATTGAAACCATTAAACACTCTCTATAATCAGAACCAAGAAAGTTGGAATGAGTAAATGAGTTCTCTTGAATAGCAAGCCGACCTTAATTGTTTTTTCCATAAAACGCAGTCAACGCTTCTGCAGTACACAGTCACAATGGTCATCACGCCATTTAGCGATGCACTCGCCACCACAAAAACATCGTGATAAAAACCACGATTCCAGCAAACGCGCCGCCGCTGTTTGCCTTACCACAGTGGGCATAGCCGATGGCTGTCTCCAGGTCCGTGATGGAGACCTCTGGCAGCTGAAGATGCTCGCCGTAGCGCTCCAAAAACGAGCAAACTACAGCGAAATCTGGGAAGCTACTAACAGACGCCATTGCTCTTTATAATGAGTTTTTATGGCAAAAATGACACAATGTCACCGATGAGGGCGTTGTTTCGTTTACATGTCAATAGTATACTTGCAATATAGCGCAAAGGCAGCATCAGCACTCCCCAGCAGTATTCATGTATGCTCGAGAGATCGTTCAAGTTCGGCCTTGATTATCGTCGGTAAAGCCGTCTTAATTCGTTTATATTTGTCGATATTTTACACTGTTAAAGTTGGACATTCCAGTACTTCCCTATTTCTCCATTTCATGCTTTTGAAACAATCCTTCACCATGTAGATAGGACTTCTTCTCACAAACATGACAAAGAGTCATCAATGATTTAAATAGTCTCCACCGCCCTACGTTAAAAATGCCAAAAATACCAACTCCTTTTAACTTAGATTGAGCTTGACAGGCACTGGAAAGAAATGGGTTTATAAAGGTCATAGCCCAATTACTCCCAACAAACTGTAACTAGTGTAAGTGTGACAGGCTGAAAAGTGACTTCTCAGATTAGGGTCTAGGGCCTAAGCCTTATCGCTGCTTTTATAGACATACTGGAGCTATTAAAAAGGAGGAACAATGCTTGGAAGGCATAGGAAACAGGATCAAACATGACCGTTTTTCCTTACCACATTGCCTTTCTCCCGTGTGGTATGAGCGATAAGGCTTATTTCGGAAAGTGTTCCATATTTGGACGCCACTTGACGCCCTGTACACAAATCCTATGAGACTGGTCTGAAACCCTCTGAGTGTTTTCTCAGTCACGGTAAACGACGGGGTGCTTTCCCTCCTAAATTGAACTTTTCTGGACATGTTTTTGTTTTCTGATGGCTATTAAGTCACTGTAGGGAAGAATTACTGGCTTCCGTGTATCAAACTCTTCCCTTTATTTCGCAAAATTGTCAACATATCATGCATGATGCACCAAGCTAAAGCTAAGGTTGACTGATCTTGCAAAGATCACGTAATTGTGCAGATCAACTGATCACATCCAACGTGCTGATCAGTAGATCTTGCTTCGTGCACAACTGATGGATGATTCATAGCTAATAGCCTTCTCTTTCTAATTCACAGTTGTGAAAAGTTTCTTCAAAATAGGAAAGTAAAGTTGGAGATTTCTCTCAGAATTGACCAATCACACAGAGCAACTGGGCAGCAGTGCAATGTACATGTATAGGGCGTTAAAACAAGTTTACTACAGTTTGTGCATGTGTCGTGCAAACCAAAGTTGAGTGGCACAACATCAAAGTTTTAACCATCTGGAGTCCATCATAAACGAATGCATTCCTTTGCAGCATGCACATGTATGTGATATCTTTTCTGTTTTTCTTTGTCAACAGTTCTGTTACCACAGAGATCAACTAAGTCTTCAGATGAGATCAAACCAACGTATGTGCTTGGGAAGACTGGCCCCAATGTTCCCAAAACTTTGTGACTTCATGAGCAAGCACAACTCTCGTTTTTGAGAAATTGGTACTGTGTACTATTTGAAATAACACTCTCATTTTGGAGAACCTTCATCCAAGTTGTGATTTCACTAGTTTATGTGTCTAGACTGACTCATACTTTTAAACCAGTCCTTCTACGGCCACTTGTTTGTGCATTTATGTATGTAAATCAGACCTCACAATGAGTTCCTCAAGCAGAACTGATGCAAACACGGTGCAACACCCCAAGAAGAAAAGGCGGGACTGTTTCATCTGCGGCCGACCTTCCTTTCAGATGTTCTGCGTCGCACACCAATGGCATGAAAGGAGAGATAGCGCCAACAACGCATGCCTGCTCTGCGGCAAGGCGTTCAAACGATCAACCAATCTGAAGCGACATATGCAGGTGCACGCCAGAGAGAAGCCCGGAGTTGGTGTCATCCGCGAGCACTGCTACTCCCTGGTGCAAAGCAAGGGGAAGCCGTTCTTGTGTGACAAGTGTGGGCAAACATTCGTGGAGAAGAGCTGTCTTTTCAGACATCAGAAGCGGGCGCACGACTGTACCACAGTTACAACAAGCTACAGCGAGAAAACGCCCCATGTTTGCGACACTTGCGGTAAGACGTTTGCCAAGCAATCCATCATGGTGCGCCACGCCAAAAGGAGGCACGCTGATGTGCGGCCGTACAAGTGCGGCACTTGCAACAAGATGTTTGCCCAGACTTGTGATCTCGTCCGCCACGAAAGGATCCACAAGAAGGAGAAGCCGTTTACCTGTAGCATTTGCAAGCAGTGCTTCTCGCGGAAGCATCACCTTGAGGATCACGTTCGCACCCACACGAGGGTCCGGCCATTTCTGTGTGATGGATGCGGTCAGACCTTCGCCCACAGGAACAGCCTTGTGAATCACAAGAAAGCTTGCAGTCAGTGTCCCGTTTTGGAGATTTCTGACACGCCCCCTGAACCACAGCCTAGTCACACTGGCAAACGTCCAGTTGCTTTTGAGACAACTGTCCTGGACCAGGCCTCCTACTGGGACAGTTTACTGAAACAAACCAAGTCGTCCCAGCCAATGGAACAGACGTTGAGTCCAGCTCGTGACACACTCCACGATGCTTTGACCCAGAGCTTTGGCCCTGACTTCTCTATGTTCCTTCAAACTAGTACGGATGGAGATCACTATGTCTGTGATTTCTGTGGCAAGGCTTTCATCCAGCGAAGTGAAATTGCTCGCCACCGGCGGATACACACCAAGGAGAAACCTTATCCATGTGAGGTTTGTGGCAGGCGGTTCACGCAGAAGTCTCACCTGGTGACGCACCGAGTCACCCACACCAAAGAAAGGAGGTTCAACTGCGAGGTTTGCGGACACGACTTTGCCCAGAAGAATTCGCTGATGAGACATCGCAGGAAAGTCCATGGAATTTATCCTCAGAAAACCGCACAGAGTAAAGATCCATCCGTACCTGAGCAGACAGATGCCACCAACAGCGTTGAGCACCTTTCCACCAGTGACGAAAAATCAACACAAACCGAGGCTGGGGAAGCCTTTCTAGACATTTTGAACCAGTCAGCATATAGCCAGCAGGAGTGTCCTTCGAACGACAGCCAAGGAGCTCAAACCGATGCAGCTACGGTCTTGATGGATATTCTGAGCAAAGGTTCAGAGTGGAATAGCATTTTATTGCCGAGCCAAGACGACCAGCCGTTCTCCTGTAACAGAGCAACCGAGACTCCAGCAGCAAGTGAGCCCATCGATTACTCATCTTTCAGAAGAATGCTGGAGGTTGGTATGCGCTACGTCTGTGACTTCTGCAACAAAGATTTTGGCAAAAAATACGACTTGATCCGTCACCGGCGCATACACTTGAGAGTGAGACCTTTTGGATGCGACATCTGCAACAGGCGATTCACCCAGAAACGGCATCTTGTGGAACACCAGGCCAAGCACACCAAAATCAAATCCTTTGTCTGCTGCATTTGTGGGAAAGCTTTCGCCTATCAGGCCAGTCTGCGCCTCCATCGTAAAAAATCCTGCAGTCCGCCGCCAAGTGATCGTCCGCCGCAACAGAAAGTGCAGCTTGTTGACGGGCGATACCGCTGTGACCAGTGCGAGAAACATTTTGGCCACAGTTACAGCCTGATGCGTCACAAACTGAGCCACACCACCACCAAACCTTTCGCCTGCCAATTCTGCGGCAGGGGTTTCTCTCAGAGATACGTCGCCAAGATGCACGAGAGAAAACACAAAGAACAAGGAACCACGCCCGACAGCAGCGGAAGCCAGCACCAGCCACTCTTCAGGAAGTCGTACATGTGCGACATCTGTGGCAAGCGGATTGTCGGAAAGTCCAATCTGTCACGTCACATCAAGGGCCACTCCCGAGACAAGTGGCACACCTGCGGTGATTGCGGCAAGGGCTTTGTGAGCAAGCTCTCCCTCAAGAAACACCGCAAACTTCACAAGAAGAAAAAGCCGGCCATGTCTGAGAATCGCACCCTGGTATTTTCAAGCAAGCAAAGTGTCCTGAGCCACCTGAAGGGAATTGAACTCCCCCGCACACTTCTGATCATACAGAGCCCTCATCCTTCACATGTTGTACCGGCATACACTTCCAACGTGAAAACTGTTTGAATCCACTTTTAGGTCTTACTAGTAAAATCTTCACAAAAGAAAAAAAGAACTTCATTTCTGAATATGTATCACCACGAACTCCAAAAGATCATTTCCTCTTCTTTTTTTTTCTTTTTCCTTTTTTTTCAAAGTTTCAATGCTGGTTATTGAAGAGCTTACGTGTATGTGTAAGTGACAAAGGAAAAGTTATTGGTGGGAAGTGCACTGATGTGTGAATGCCCTTGAGATACTTTAACAGATTTTCACAGTCATTATTTTATCAAATTGTTTGGAAGAAAACGACTCAAATTTAACTTGGAAATATTTTTCAACCATGATATCACAAGGCCCAATTTCATGCAGCTCTGAAGCAGTGAATTTACACATCAGCCTACAAGCTTAGCAAAGTTTTTGCATGGTATTAAAATTGGCTTTATGTTTGACAAAGAAATTGAAAAGAAAAAGGTGTGATTAGCAAAATTGCCAGGGCAGTTCATACTTGATGCGAAAGGTGAACATGAAAGCCAGTTTCTTTTTTTCTCTCTTTTTTTCCTGTGTTTTACTAAGATCAAATATTCCAGCTACAAATTCACAGATTTGCTTCACTTTTTCCATTTATTAGAAGTTACATGCAAAATTGTATGCACATTTCATTCCATGGAATCCTACGTGCCTGGTCTTAGAGCAAGCCTGTTTCCGTACACATAACCCTTGTGTTAAGTCTGCCAAGTTTCAACTTCAAACCGTCAATCTATAAAAATAGGATGATGGGGAGTGCGCTCAAATTCATCGAAGTTTAAGGCAGGGCATCATATTTGTTTCTTGGAGATTTCAATCACCTGTTATGGCAGGAGCAAATTGAATTAATGATGAATCCGAAAAACTTGCAACCTTGCATTTATCAAAAATACTCCAGTGTAATTTTGTTGTCACTTTGACATGTTTGATGAATGGTCAAAGCTGTGCTTGGTATTGAGTTATTCCCCGATACACAGTCATCCCAAATTAATTGTTAAACTTCAATGTTATCAACGGGAAATAAGAATATAACCATGTGTCCTGCCTCATTATTCCATTTTAAGCCTACATGTAGGATGGCTTTCAAATTTTCAGCTCAATGAAAAGTTATGTTTTGCCAGCCCTTGGGTCACAGTGTTTTATTATACTTTTGTCATTCCGGGCCGACTTGGTTGGGGTTATGTCTTGTTTTTGTTTTTTTGTTTTTTTCCTTTTAACTCGTCTTACTTCTTTTATCACTTGTTTTTGCTGTCATTGTCTTGTTGAAGGCCGAATAAATAATAATAATAATAAGAGTAATTAAACTTTGCCCTGGACCGTACCGGGGCCTGTCCACTGAACTACCTTCGGCAGTAGACTTACCCCAGTCTGGGGGTTACATCAAACTGCTTGGAGGAATAAAAATGCCTTTACGTCCACCCACGAGAGGAAGCATTTCCGAATCCAGGAGAAATGGTTAGCGTCTAGGTTAAATCTTGTATCACACGCCAAGTTAAACATTATTCAACAATATGCTGGTCTCGTGCCCAGATGTGATCTAAGCCAGGGATCCGGAACCGCGTAGTACTGGGAGCAAGTCTGATCTATTTATAGCACTTAGCGGCAACATGGCAGCTGACGATCATAGCGGGTTGTTTTCGTGGCTTGTTATGCTTCTACTCCCTGAGGAATGCTTCGTGGAATTCTTCGAGAAGTTCAATATTTTCGACGGTAAGGATTTTCTCTGTCAATCGATTGAATGTTTCCTGTAACTGGAAACTGTCAAAGGCTCCATATGAACGTTAAAGAAAGTCAACCAGCATGCGCACTCTAGTACTAGTACTAGGGCCTACTGCGGTATTTGCTAGCTGCACTGGGTAGTGCAGTGCTAGCAAAGTAGCAGTAGCAATAGGCCTAGGCCTACGTGTAGCTCTGCCTAACTAGCATTAGCAAGGAAAGCGATACGCGTAATATATCATGATCAACGATTAACACAGTCAGTCAAGCATGTCAAACGGGCGGGGTCCAGGGACCACTGAATTGTAATGAAGAATGATAGATCTACACATTTCTACATGTAAATTATCATCATCATGATGTGGACTTGACCTCCATGGCCAGATGACCTTGAACTCCGTGAAACTGTTTTTTTAATCCACTTTCATGACTTTGGAGGCCAATAACTAAAGCCAAATTTAATATGTGCCTGGCGTGGCAGTCGTCATCGGGTCATGATATTTCAAGTTCAAGCTGTGTTTTTTGGTTGGAATAAAATACACTGTAGCCTTTTGTGGAGGACTGCATGTATTTGTCTATTATTGCTTTTCAGTCTGGAGTAAAATGTATCAAGAAAGGCACTTACCATGATTAACTGAGTTCCATATTAATCCTACACATAACTCCAAGTTGTACATACATGTAGTGTATGTAAAATCATTGCAATTGGAGGAGTCGGGGCTGTTAAGGTTAATGAAAACCTCAGCTAGGCTACCCTTGAACTTTGAAAAGCAAGTTCTCAAACATGCCCAAACCTTAACTTGACTTTACTATAACATTGTTATTTGGAAGATTGTTTTGGAAATGTGACTCACTGTCCCCTAACCAGGGCAGGCAGAAGGCTTAATTTTAGCTGTTCTCTGAAAACTGACACTAGTATACAAGTGGACATATGCAGGCATCACATTGTTCACTGCCCGCCATCCCACAAATTACCGTACCAGTCAGTGCCAGAGCTTACCAAAGGTTTCTGCGAGCTGAATTTGCTCTATGAATCACTTTAGGCACTGTATAGCGTCAGGGGAGGAGACTTGTCAAGTATCGAAATTGCCAACATTGTACCAGCCTGGTGAGCCAGGTTGTAGAATGGTGGTCCACCAATACAAGTATGTTACATGTATGTACCTGCAACGAGGGCGCTTCACTTTATCAAATACTATCAAACCTTGTTGATAAGAGATCCTGCACCAATTACATGTACATGCCTTGTTTTAACTGGAAACTTGTACTATCAGGAATGAAAATAATGAAGAACAAAGCGTTGTTTTTATGTGTTTACGACCGGAATGTACTGACGGTGCTCTAATTAATGAGGTGCAACTAGATGACAAAGGGGCCTCAATAGTCACCGATTCAAGACTGTGGAGAGTGTGTTAACGCTATGTATACAAGTAACGAGTGTGAAGCAGATTCAGTCTTCCAAGGTCACTTGTCTTTAACCCTAACCTTGCCCAACCAGTGTCTAAGTGTCTAATTCTGTGGGGATAGGTCTGGTAGGCCCATAACAGCTGGCTTTTGCATTGAGTTTGGCGTACCTCAGAGAAACAAAATCCAACAGCCTCTGTGCACAAGGTCCCATATGGGTGTTTAATTTTGTGTGAATGGGGAAGGTTAGGGCCAGCAACCCTTGGGGGTTTAGGGTTAATGAGGCTGTTTGAAGCTCCCAGCTTTGTACAATGTATGTTGAACAGACCTGTGCATTGATACACTGTTGAGAATAGAGGTGTTCTTTCTGTTTTTCTACAGTACCATGCCTGAAGATTGCAGTCAGCAAAGGGCTTGGGTTTGGTATCATCCTTGGATCCGTCATGGGTAAGATTGCAGGGCCTTGTTACGTCCCAATTGTGGCTTTGGTTAGGCTTGGACGGTATTCGTGATAAGAATACCAGCCATATGCGCTAATGTTGTGATATTCTTTGAAGAGGGTACCAAGTGTGTTTCATTAAAAATAATGAGCAACATTCACTGAGAGTGACAACAACTATTTCTGACTCCCAGTCGGACTCTAAAAGCCTCACCTTGACCACAGATGCGATGGCAGTGTGGACAATAAAACTTCAAAGGCTTTTGACTGGTGGGTTGGCAGTTGCTCAAGTTTCATGTTACCAAGTCCAAGTGACAATGCAGACATGTTCTTGGGTGACTTTATACCACAAAGAATGGAGAGAAATATGATAACATTATGGTTTTCCTTCATTTTCAAACCATATCAGCAAGAATACCTCTGTATCCAAATTCCATATGGTATTTGCTGGTTTATGAATCACCAGTTGGTATTTTACAGTACTGAAAAAAACAAATGCTCTATTCAGTAATATCAAAATACCGTCCAAGCGTACATGTACATATAGCATCAGCCCCAACTGTGCTGTGGGTCAGGACGGCCCCAACTATCATGCTGCAGTTGGGCTTGGCCCAGCTGTGGTCCAGTATAGCCAGGTGTCAACCACCATGAAGGATGTGTGCATGCATGTCAGCAACACACAGTACGTGTATTGGATGTTAGTTTTTTTGTGTCGAAGATGAAATGGCAAATCATTTCTGATGGATGTGGGCAGCAGAAAACTGGACATAGTCGAAAGTTTTCAGTTGAAATGTTCTCTGTTCTCATCAGGTTGTATAGCTTCTGTCATGGCTGTGATACACATTCTGCTGGATGTGATCTGTGCACGGCCCCATTGCTGGCTTCAGGTATTGGGTGTGGCCACAGTATCAGCTTATGGGAGGGGGTTTGTACACTGTACAGTGTAACAAAAACAAAAGATCATTGTGATGCTCATGGTGTTTGCCAATGGGGGGCAGCTGCTCACCAGGGGATCCAGAGGGACTTGCCTCATCCTTCCTTGACAACAGGCCTGTCTGCACAGACCTGTGCCCTCAAAACTCAATGCTGTCACTGACAGACCCAGTGACATCATCTTTGCCATGGATCCGTGAATTGGCCACCACGTGCACTGTACGTTTCTTGTGTTAAGTCCACATTTTTTGTCTTGCTTCCTCCGTTCAGTGAAACTGCCACAGATCGTCAAGATCGTCATGTCCAAGAGCGGTCACGGCATCAATGTGGCAGCAGTGACCTTTGAACTCACGGCCATCTCGTTTACCTGGGCCTACTCCGTAGCTAATTCCTTCCCTTTCTCGTAAGCGAAGTCTGTGTTTTTCAGATGGCTTGTCTTTTTGAGCTGCATAAAGCAGTAGGCCTATATACAGACACTTTATTTGCATGTACATCAAATCTGTCGCCCCACCTATGGCCTGTTGAAAACTGCATGTGAGATAATCAGTTCACGGTCCGTTTCTTCCATTTCTCCATGGATCAAATAGCCTAACCCTTTTGCGAGTTAAAATTGCGAATTAAAATGGTTTGTACCAATGGGATGTAAAATTTGTCGTTGCAAACTTGAACTTGGGCAAAAATTGCTGTATCGGTAGGAAAGGTCACTATACCCATATATGGTAATACCCTAGACTGATCATTACAAATGTGAAGCTTCAACTCAATTTGACATGTACTTTTCATTTTGATTTGGTCATTTGAAGTTCAAGGCCACATGCATGCCAGCCTGCACTGAGCACAGCAGTGGAAAAGTATAAATGTTTGCTTACCTCTCCTAGAAAAAGGGGTACTGCATGAGAACCGTTATCAGGGCAGGAACTTCACGGAGGCATCGGAGGCCATTGCCTTGATGCCCCTGGTCTTTGCCTCAATGCCCATTGAAATGTCCCCATAGACAAGTTGATTTTCTTGTACAAGTGCTCTTTACATATGAGAAATTCCCTTGCCCTTTTAAGAGCGAATTTCCTGCCCTGCATTATGTTTGATTTTCACAAAGTCAAAATGACCACAAAAAGTTACTGAAAACTTTTAAGGGCTCGGCTTGTGAAAAAAAATGCACTTCAGCAATATCAAAACAAATTTTAAGGTTGGGCGGATTCAGCCCATTTAGGGTTAACCGTAGATGGCGCTCAACCTTACTCTTTGTGTCTAATTACAGGGCATGGGGTGAGGCGCTATTTATGGCCGTCCAGACTACTACCATAGCTACCCTCTGCTTCTGGTATAAGGAGCAGACCCTTCAAGCAATCCTGTACGTCTCGGGCTACTTGGCCATCATGTTGGTCCTGCTATCTGGCGCCACGCCCCTGAGTATACTATCAGCCATGCAAGCGACCAACATGCCCATCGTCGTCCTCAGTAAGGTCTGTATTGTCGGTGGGTGCTCAGCGGGTAAGGGGAAAGGACCAAGACTTATGCAAATATGGGCATTTGTAGTTTGCCCAGTTCATGATCTCAGCTGTTCTTGAGTTTTCTAAACTTCAGCTGTGCCTCCCGTTTGTGGTTCAGACTTGAGTTTAACTCTAACCCTGTCACATGCACCACAGTCCATCAGGTGAAAAAGTCAGATGCACTTTGATGCACCGAGCAATCAACAGCAGCCAAATAAACTGGCCATGTTGAGACAATGGGAGCTACAGTAGTCCCATCGAACAATACCACTGTTGGATCTTGTGGTGACTGGCAACCACAGAGCTCCCAGGCTGGTTGACCTTGGGGAGAGTTGACCTGTTGCATCTTGTGGTGACTTGCAACCACAGACTCCCAGGCTGGTTGGCCGTGGGGAGAGTTGACCTGTTGGATCTTGTGGTGACTTGCAACCACAGACTCCCAGGCTGGTTGGCCGTGGGGAGAGTTGACCTGTTGGATCTTGTGGTGACTTGCAACCACAGACTTCCAGGCTGTTTGGCCGTGGGACGAGTTGACCTGTTGGATCTTGTGGTAACCGGCAATCACAGACTCCCTGGTTGGTTGGCCTTGGGAAGAGTTGACCTGTTGCATCTTGTGGTGACTGGCAACCACAGAGCCCCTAGGCTGTTTGACCTTGGGGAGAGTTGACCTGTTGCATCTTGTGGTGACTGGCAACCACAGACTCCCAGGCTGGTTGACCTTGGGAAGAGTTGACCTGTTGCATCTTGTGGTGACTGGCAACCACAGACTCCCAGGCTGTTTGGCCGTGGGGAGATTTGACCTGATTGATCTTGTTACACAGGGCAGGCAAGCCATGTAGACAGTATTATGCAATTTGATGGGTTTGAGCAGGGTTTCTAGGAGCCATACCCTGGAGTGTTGGGGTGAATCAATTTAACCTTCAAAGAAGAGGACCGCCTGCTTAATGCAGCTCCATTTTCTTCCAGGGAAGCAACACATTGCGTTACGTGATGCCCAGGCCTAAAGGCTTTTTTGCCATTTGGTTTGAGCAGAAAAGCATTTGACCATTATTCTGGATCCCCGTAGGGCCAGACACAAAGATGACATTTGGAAATAAAAGGCCTGTTCATTTTCTACGGTTTACATGTTCACATGTTTGAAGTGGCACAAACAGTGGCAAAGGGCTGGTGTGGTTGCAACCATCAAGTGTCTCAGAAGTAAGGCTTTGCATCTTGCTCACAGTTGATGGAAGCTCAGATCAACTACAGCAACGGCCTCATTGGCCAGCTGCTGGTCTATATCTCCCCGATGGCCCCCCCTCATCAGACTGAAATGTACCAGTTTGTCCATATTATTGACTAACTGCGGAAATAAAGGTTCACTACCATTGCCGTTTAATTGAGTGTTAAAAGACCATATTTGCGACGAAGCCATTTTTGATCGTGTTCCCTGAATCTATTACATTCTATGTAATCCTGTAAATGAGATGGTACCAGACTATTTTAGATTCCAATCCTCACTTTCAGTTAATGTGGCTTAAAACTTTTACATACACATTATCACAAATTTTGAATTATTCAATATGAAAGACTGGCATTCATTTGTAATGAACTTTTGTTTCATTGCTGTTGCTTTTGCTGTCAGGTCCTGAAAATGATAAGATAACCTAGCTTTCAATACAAGATGGCCGACTCATGAACACAGTCTATTGCATCTTGCTCACAGCTGATCCAAGCCCAGACCAACTACAACAATGGTCACACGGGCCAGCTCTCCGCCGTCACCGTCTTCCTGCTCACCCTGGGCAGCGTGGCACGCATCTTCACCACCATCCAGGAGACAGGTGACGCCATGATGACGTGGACCTACATCATTGCCACCGCCACCAATGCCCTGGTTGCGTTCCAGGTCCTGTGGTACTGGAAACGAACCGAGGAGTTTGTCAAGAAGCAGCAAGCAAAGACGGAGTAATAGTGATGGATCTCTACCCCTCCCCTCTCCCCCCCTATCTTCCGAAATGCTTCCCAAGGCACTGTTTTGCACCTCACTAAGACCAGGGCCAGTCCCAATTGTAAGGGGTTGGAGAGGGGACGGTCCATTTTTGGTAGTCCCAACTCCTACAGGGTCATCCAAAATGTTGTGTTGGATTTTGAGGAATACGGGGTGGTTAGGATTAGACTACAGAGTCATCAAAAGATGGAGTCAAGGTTGGCAAGTCGGGAATTTGTTGATTGATACAGATTTGGTGTCACTGGATATTGATTTTTTAAGCTCAGTTCTGTTTACATGAAGGAATATGGAGCACTTTTGATAAATTAGAGGAGGCATTTACACTTGGTGAAGTTGGACATCAGTTTACCTTGACAATCTTTTTATTAGAGAACTACAACCGTTAGAATGGTTGCGACTTTACTGGTAGGTTAATTAATTTTTCATACTGTTTTTGTGGGTGTCATTGCAACCATTAAAGTGATAGTGCGAGAGGAGTGAGTCTAGTGATTCTTGAGACCTCTGTTCAAGGTGTCTCAAAAATCCTCAACAACCAAGTTTCTTTAAGAGTGCGGCCATGTTTTCTGCATTCCCAATCGAGAATACTTTTACCTCTTGGGTGAGCTAAGTTCTGTTTTATCCATTGGTCAAGGCAGGGTAAAATACCAGTTGTTTTAACACCACAGCATCCTATCAGCTCAAAATACATGGATGTCAAGAGCTCTTGACTTGATATCCTCAACCATGACAATTTTGTATCTGTGGCTGTTTGATTTTTCGGAGATAAATTTGTGCCAAAGTGTCCTCTTTTCCTCGACTTCTGTTTCTCAAATCTTATACAAAGTGGCTGCTAGTTTATCAAACAGCCATTGATAAATATACAGATGATGACGAAAATATTCACCTGAGAACATTCTGCTTGGAAGATAATTAAAATTATTCTTAGTGGGCATTGCAATACTGCCTTTATTTTAAACAGTTGTTTTTTGAGTAACGAATAGTTTCCTGAGGTGTTTTTTATCAGGTGCTGGATTGAACCCAATTTGTTGATCATAGGGTTTTCAGTCATAACTAAATTACATTATTTTAATGTTTTGGGCTGTGGAGAAAAAAACTGTTTTGTGTCTTCTCTGTCGGACACTGTTGCCATCTTTAGAAGTTGGAATGCGATACTTGAACAGGAGAACTGCCACATGTATCCACTGAAGATCTGGAGACCGGGTTAAAAGCACGGACGTGT